AACAAAGGAGGCAGTGAGAAGCAAAAAGGAGGCCAAGGAGGTGAACCAGAAGAAAGAACACATGGAGAGGAACTAACAGAAAAATTCAGGCAACATGAAAAATCAAAACAGATGAACTCCCCCAAGGGACCATGAGGCAGCTACTGCAGAAGACTCCACCTATAAAGAATTAATGGACTTCACAGAAAGGAAATTTAAAATATGGACAATAAAGACAATAAAAGGAATGGACAAGAAAATGGAAAGACAGAACCAAAATTTGGAAAAGAGATATGTAATAGAAACTATCAAAAATAGACTATGGAGAAGGAAGAACATCAGAGCTAGAGGATAAACCCAGGTAGTTAAATAGATAGAAAAGAAGAGAGAGAAAGCAGAACAGGTGCTTAGAGAACTATGAGACTCCATGAAGCGTTCAAACATACGAAAAATAGGGATTCCTGAAGGGGAAGAAGATTGTTCCAAAGGAATGGAAGCCCTACTGGAAGCCTTATTCATATATCATAAATCATAAATGAAAACTTCCCAACTTTTACAAAGGCCCCAACACACTCCTTTCAGATGGATATCGAGCCCCAGCTCATTTCAACTCAAATAGAGCCTCTCCAAGACACATTGTAATGAACCTGTCCAAAGTCAAGATAAAAGAAAAAATCCTGCAAACAGCCAGGAATAAGCACCAAGTGACCTACAGAGGCAAAGCCATTAGGATGCCAGCAGACTTTTCAACTGAAACCTCCCAAGCCAGAAAAGCACGGTCATCCACCTTCAACATTGTTAAATAAAACAAATTTTCAGCCCAGAATTCTGGATCCTGCTAACCTAACCTTTAAAACTGATGGAGACACTGGGTGTGGTGGCTCACGCCTATACTCCTACCACTCTGGGAGGCTGAGGCGGGTGGACTACCTGAGCTCACAAGTTTGAGACCAGCCTGAGCCAGAGTGAGACCTCGTCTCTAAAAATAGCCCAGCGTTATGGCAGGTGCTTGTAGTCCCAGCTACTTGGGAGGCTGAGACAAGAGAGTCACTTGAGCCCAAAAGTTTGAGGTGGCTGTGAGCTGTGATGCCACGGCACTCTACCAGGGGCAGTAAAGTGAAATTCTGTCTCAGAAAAAAGAAAAATTGACAGAGAAATAAAATATTTTGTGGCTACACAAGCACTGAGGAAATTTTCTACAGCAAGACCAGTTGTACAGGAAACACTTAGACCTTTTCTCAATACTGACCACCCCAATGCACCCACCAGCAAAAGTAAACACCCAGAAGCTAAAGGTCAAAACTTAGCTTCCACAATGGTGCAAAGGATAAAACTACATAATGGACTTTCACAAAATAAGATGACTAGAACTCCATTACACTTATCAGTTCTCTCAATAAATATCAATGGACTGGATTCACCACTGAAGAGGCATAGGCTGGCTGATTAGATAAAAAAGCAAAAGCCACCCATATGCTTCTCTAGGAGACACACCTCACTTTGAAGGAAAAATCAAGACTCAGGGTTAAGGGATGGAAAACAGTATTTTAAGCAAATAGAAATTAGAAGGAGGGGTTGCAATCTTATTTTCAGGTACAAAAGGATTTAAAGCAACTAAAGTTAAGAAAGAGAAAGATGAACACTTTATACTGGCCAAAGGAACAATACAAGAAGACATTTTAATTTTAAATATTTATGCACCCAACTTAAATGCTCCCAGATTTATGGTACAGACTTTGATGGGTCTGAGCAATATGTTATCACATAACACCATACTAGTCAGGGACTTTCAACACCCTTCTGACAGGACTAGACAGATCTTTTGAACAGAAACTAAACAAAGATACAAAGGACTTAAATGTGACCCTAGAACAAATGGGATTAATAGACATATACAGAACACACCATCCCAAAGCTAAGGAATATACATTTTCCTCATCAGCCCAAAATTGACCTCATCTTAGGATACAAATGAAACTTCAGCAAAATTAAAAGAAAATAATAGAAATTATACTGTGTATCTTCTCAGACCACAAGACAATAAAGGTGGAACTCAACTTCAACAAAAACACGTATCCCCACACAAACACTTGGAAATTAAACAACCTTATGCTGAATGATAGTTGGGTTGAGGAAGAGATAAAAGAGGAAATCGTTAAATTCCTCAAACACAACAACAATGAAGACATAAGTTTCCAAAACTTGCAGGGTCCAGCAAAAGCAGTCGTTAAGAGGGAAATTTATCACATTGGATGGCTACATTTGAAAAACAGAAAGAGAGTGCATCAACAAACTCATGAACCATCTTATGGAATTGGAAAAAAGCAGAACAATCTAATCCCAAACCCAGCAGAAGAAAAGAAATAACCAAAACTAAATCAAAGATTAATGAAACTGAAAACAAAAGAATCATTCAGAAAATTAATGAAACACAAAGTTGATTTTTCAAAAAAATAAAATTGACAAACATTTGACCAGATTAACTAGAAAAAGAAAAGTAAAATCTCTAATAACCTCAACCAGAAACAATAAAGGGGAAGTAACAACAGATGCCACAGAAATAAGAGAGATTATCTCTGAGTACTATAAGAAACTCTATGCCCAGAAAGTTGACAATGTAGAAGAAATGGATCAATACCTGGAATCACACCCTCTCCCTAGACCAATTTCAAGAACTGAGATGGAAGAAACAAAAAATCTCCCAACAACAACAAAAAGCCCTGGTCCAGATGGCTTTACCCCAGAATTCTATCAAACCTTCAAAGAGCTTATACCCATACTGCAGAAATTATTCCAGAAAATTGAGAAGAAAATTTCCCCAACATGTTCTATGAAGCAACATTACCCTGATACCAAAACCAGGAAGATCCAACTAAAAAGGAGAACTTCCGACCAATTTCACTAATGAATATAGATGCAAAAACTCTCAAATCTTAGCCAACAGATTACAATTATATATTAAAAAAATCATTCAAAGAGGGAGGGGTGGGGTCTTGCTGTGTGCCACACCTTTGGGGGGCAAGACACGATTGTAAGAGGGACTTTACCTAACAAATGCAATCAGTGTAACCTGGTTTCTTGTACCCTCAATGAATCGCCAACGATAAAAAAACAAAACAAAACAAAATAACAAAAAAAAATCATTCATCACCATCAAGTAGGTTTCATCCCAGGGACGCAAGGCTGATTTAATATATGCAAGTCCATTACATAATTCATCATATCAACAGAAGCAAAAGCAAAGACCATATGATCCTCTCAATACATGCAGAAAAAGTGTTCAATAAAATTCAGTATCTTTTTCTAATTAGAATACTTAAGAATTTAGGCATAGGTAGCACATTTCTTTTTTTGTTCTTTTTTTCTTGTAGTTTTTGGCTGGGGCAGGTTTGAACCCGCCACCTCCGGCATATGGGACCCGCACCCTACTCCTTTGAGCCACAGGCACCACCCAAGGTGGCACATTTCTTAATCTGATCAAAGTTGTCTATGACAAACCCACATCTAATATTATACTGAATGGAGTAAAACTGAAAGCTTTTCCACTTAGAACTGAAATCAGACAAGGTTGTCCTCTATCACCACTACTATTCAGCATAGTGCTAGAAGTTCTAGCCAATACAGTCAGGCAAGAGAAGGAACTAAAGGGCATCCAAATGGGGGCAGAGGAAGTCAAACTCTCGCTCTTTGCCGACAATATGATGTTACACTTAGAGAACCGAAGACTCAACTGCAAGACTCCTCGAAGTGTGATCAAAAAATACAGCAATGTCTCAGAATATAAAATCAATGTCCACAAGTCAGTAGCCATGGCATATGCCGATAACAGCCAAGATGAGAAGCTAATCAAGAACATAATTCCTTTCACAGTAGCTTTAAAAAAATGAAATACCTAGGAATATACATAACAAAATAGGTGAAAGAGAATTAAGAAGAAAATTTCAAAACCCTAAGAAAAATAGCAGAAGATATTAACAAATGGAAGAACATACCATGCTCATGGCTGGGAAGAATCAACATTGTAAAAATGTCTGTACTACCCAAAGCAATGTACAGATTCAATGCAATCCCCATTAAAATACCATCATCATACTTTCAAGATATGGAAAGAATAATTCTTCATTTTGTATAGAACCGGTAGAAACCCCATATAGCCAAGGCAATTTTTTTTTTTTTTAATGTCTCACTATGTCACCTTTGGTAGAGTGCCGTAGTGTCACAGCTCACAACAACCTCAAACTCTTTGGCTTAAGTGATTCTCTTGCCTTAGCATCCCAAGTAGCTGGGACTACAGGCACCTGTCACAACACCTGGCTATTTTTTGTTGTTGTTGTTGTCATTGTTTAGCAAGCCCAAACCTGAGCTGGGTTCCAACCTGCCAGCCCCAGTGTATGTGGCCAGTGCCCTAACCACTGAGCTACAGGCACTGAACTGCCAAAGCAATTCTTAGTAATAAAAACAAAGCTGGGGTTATCACCCTCCCAGACTTTTGGTTATACTATAAGAACTCAAATTAGATGCTCCCATTTGATCCTGCAATCCCATTACTAGGCATCTAACCAGAAGAAAAAAATCCTTTTATCATGAGGACATTTGCACTAGACTGTTTATCAAAGCTCAATTTACAATCGCCAAACTGTGGAAGCAGCCTAAATGACCATCAACTCAGGAATGGATTAACAAACTGTGGTATATATATGCTATTTAGCCATTAAAAAAGATAGAGACGTTACATCTTTGTATTTAACCTGGATAGTGGTGGAACACATTCTTCTTAGTAAAGCATCCTGAGAATGGAGAATCAAGAATCCAATGTACTCTATTCTAGTATGAAGGCAGCAGATGAGCTAATACAAGCTGGGGGGATAAGGGAATGAGGGAGCAGGGAGAGGAAAGAAGGGGGGGATGGGGATTATGTCCTGGGGGCAGGACACATTAGTAAGAGGGACTTTATCTAACAAATGCAATCAGTGTAACCTAATTCTTTGTACCCTCAATGAATCCCAAACAATAAAAACAGCCCCCAAAACCACTGAGACTGAGAATAGCTTTACTGGCTCATGTATATAAATACAACAAAACTTGATATAAAAAGAATAGCAACTTCTGCTTAATTTTGTTCTGTGTCTTCTTCCTCACTGTCATCTTCACAGTAAAAGATGTCTCTAAACAGGAAAACTGGCTTGGGTGCTGCAGGAGTCTGGATTTTAGTGCCTTTTCTCTTCATCTTCTTTTCTAAAGTCTCTTTAAACAAAGGTAGAATAGTCTCGTAAAGGTAGTCGATGATCTCTACAGAAAAGAAATTTAATTTTGGAGTTATTTGTCTGTATGAAGCCTCTTATCAATGTCAAAGGGTACAGGACAAGGACAACACATTGCTCGTTACTTTATGTAAGGTCCTGTCCTTATTGATTTGTAAATGTTCATTGACTTAAAATTAATCCTCATAAAAAGAGACAGGTATTATTTTTAATCTGTTTTTCAAATGGGGAAACAATGGCATACAGACATTAAGAAACTTGCCTAAGGTCATGGAGTTAATAAGGATTCAAACCCAGGTAGTGATGTCTGCTGAGTGCAAAGAAGTATTCACCACACATGCGAAGTGTGAGCTCATCCAGACCAGCAGCTCCACTGGTCTGGACTCTGGTCCTGGGCTCACCACGAGAGACCTCACACTCATGAGCTTGTTAGAGAAAGTCCAGGCTCTGGACTCCACCCGGAGAGTAGGATCCAGTAGGTCGAGGATGAGGCCAGGAATCTGTCTTTTTAACGTGTTCCCCACAAGGCTATGATGATCTGAGTTTGGGATTACACATCCAAACTACCCACAAGTGGCTACAAAGAAAGAACCAGGCATCTTACATTCCTTGTGGAGCAGAGCGTATGTACACAGGGATGCACATTACATGGTGTGCATGTGTCCATGTGTCACAAGTGCCGGCACAGCAGTGGCACCCGTCATCTGCTCAGTGACCAAGGGCCATGCACTGTGCTGAACACACCTCACACATTAGTCATCTCATTTAGTGCTTGTCAAAATCCTGTCAGGTAGAGGGTATAATCTGTCATTTTTCACCATTTTACTAATTTTTTTTTGTTTTTGAGACAGAGTGTTAGTTGCCCTCTATAGAATGCCATGACATCACAACTCAGAGAACCTCAAACTCTTGGGTTCAAGTGATGCTCTTGCCTCAGCCTCCTGAATCACTAGGACTACAGGTGCCAAGCACCCTCCCCTGCCAGTTTTTCCTTTTTTTTTTTTTTAGAGACAGAGTCTCATTTTGTCACCCTTTGTAGAGTGCCGTGGTATCTCAGCTCACAGCAACCTCCAGCTCCTTGGCTTAGGCAATCCTCTTGCCTCAGCTTCCCGAGTAGCTGGGACTACAGGCACCCACCACAACACCCAACTATTTTTTGTTGCAGTTTGGCCAGGGCCAGGTTCAAACCTGCCACCCTCAGTACATGGGGCCAGCCATGGGGCCAGCACTCTACCGACTGAGCCATAGGTGCCGCCTTAGTTTTTCTATTTTTAGTAGAGATGAGGTCTCATTCTTGCTCAGGCTGGTCTTGACTTCCTGAGCTCAAGCTATCCACTTGCCTCAGCCTCCTTGCTAGGATTACAGGCATGAGCCAATGTGCCCAGCCCACCATTATACTAATTTTAATTTTTTTTTCTGTGAAAATTTTTTTTTTTTTGAGGTATGGACATGGGGTGAGAAATGTCGCTGTAGAGTATGAGATAACCCTCCCTCACAGGAATATCCCTTCAAATCTTCCTGGGGAACTTTGTGAAACTTTTTCTTCTTCTTGAAGCTGTTCTTGGAGCTGCAACCTTTTCCAGCCCCTGCTGCCTGTCTCCTCCTTAGAGCAGACTTTTCTCTTAGACACAAACTTGCTGCCTGCTTTTCAGGATCACTAACTACTGTTTCCTTCTTGGGTGAAGCTTTCTTATTCCTGGGAGGACTTACACTGGCAGTGGCCCCCTCCAGATCACTACTAGACAACCCCTCTTTGGAGGAAGATTTATTTTTCTGGGGTTTAGAGACAGGGATAGATGGGTGGTCTTCCATTCCATTCTCCTGAGGAACCGCCCGCGGCTTTTGCTTCTCTTTGGGTTTTTCCGCCTCTTCTGAGTGCTGCTGCTGTTCTGTGCAGACGGAGGGCCCGTGCAGCCGGTCATCTCTTTTCCTTCTTCATGCATTTCTCCTGCCTCTCCAGTTTCCTGGTAATCTCAGCAGCCACTTCTTCCTGAACCACCGCTTCCTTCACGACACCCAGATTCTTTTCGTGGAATCTCTCTAGTCTTACAGGACAGCCACTCCTCAACTTGTTCCGGAAGCTTCTCCCTAAGACGCTGGGGGGACCTTAGAAAAGCAATAGATTCAGGAGGCAATACTGCCTGTGTGTGCCAGGTATCGGGAAAATTGGCCTTGTTCTTGGCAGCTGCTCAGCCAATGAAGGTGGAGTGGAAAATGAGCCCATATTTCAGTGTGTTACCCCTTGTCTGCAGTGCACTGGAAACCTTTGCTGGGCTCTGGGAATCACCCTGACACCAGGACTGGCCGTCACCCCTATAAGCAGAGGCGTGTGTAGGTAAGGGAGTCCTGGTCAGCCATTACCATGACACCATTTTACTACTGATAAGGCTAGAGTCAAGAAGCTACAGTCACTTGCCCAGGTGACTCACACACCAGTATGAGGCACCAGACATCACGATAACAAGTCAAATCTTCAAAATACTGACCTGAAAAAGTCTTCCTCTGCCAAAAGGGAACATAGGTAGCTTTCAGCTTATAAAATTTACTTTGAACGTAAGATGGAGGAACATCACTTTAGAAAGGAAAAGATTAAAAAAACAAAGTTAGTTAAAAATTGATCATTTCACCGCTGCTGTGTAGTAGGTACATTTAGGGCGGTCTATGAAATCACCGTGGACATGAAATCACCGTGTCCACAAATGTGCGATAAGAATAAGATATACATGAAAACGTATTGTTCATTCGGTTAAAAAATAAAAGGTAATCAGTAGTACAAAATGGATTGTTTAAATTTACGTAACTTAAATCACTGAGTGAGAAGACAAAGTGTACCACGGTGTCCATGTGCTGATGCTGGCCTTGTACTTGGCACGGCCTCAGGTCTTACATCATAACCAAGTATGACGCTCCATGATGGAGCGGCTGCTCTTCTCCCTCATTCTGAAGAGGAAGAAACGGAGGCACAGAGAAGGTGCCCAAAACCACACGGCTGATAAGGGCTTGGCACTCAGATGAGGGCTGAAGTGGGGGTTTTAGCTGGATCATGTGACCCAGATCCTATACTCTGTGCTTCTACACTTAGGACACCTCCATGCTTGTCAGAATTCAAAGGCACATGCTCCCTAATCCTTCCAAACTAAAGGCCAAACAATCTGTCAACATGCATACTTCTGAGAGTCTACCCACCCCCAAACCTCATGACGCTCAACAATTTGTCTTGTTCAAAGGGGCCTTGCTTTGTAGTCCAGCTCTCCCTTGCTCAGCAAGCAAGAAATCTAGATACGGAGAGTGGTAGCCTCTTTGTTAAACAGTAGGAACAGATTCAAAATGCAAGAGCTATTTGCAGCAAAGGCCAGTGGAGGTGCACAGAGACAGCTTAGAGACATGTGAGAGCCATGGGCAGTCTCACTTCTCAGATGAGAAATGCAAATGAAACCAAACTGAAACTACTGACGGAAGAGTAAGAGGAACACGGTCTTTGTAGTGTCTGAAAACGTCTGGTGACAGCCATTTCTGGTCACCATGGGTAAAGCAGGTATAGTGGGGAAATGAGGCAGATGCCACCTTAGCTTAAAGATCAAACGCAGAATCACGTGACTCAGGATGTGCTACAGTGATAAAGACACACAGCCCCTTTGTCAGAGTCTCAGCTGTGACACACAACCTGAATCTAATCAAGAGGAAACATCAGACTCCAAATGAGGGACATTCAACAACACAACTAGCCTGCATTCTTCCAAAATTTCAACATCAAAGGCAAAGGCAAAGGCAAAAGAACTTTACAAATTCAAAGACACTAAGGAGATGTTGACAAAATGCAAGGTGTGACTGGATCTTACACCAGGAAGCATGTGCCTATAACGTGCTTATTATAAAGGACGTTATTGGGATAACTGGTGAAGTGTGAATGTGGACTGTTTTAGAGTATTGTATTATATTAACGTTAAATGTCCAAATTCTCAATTGCACAATGGTCATGTACAATAACAGCCTTGTTTAGGTGCTGTCTGCTACTAATTCTTAGATGGTTATGTGGGAAAGTGTTATTCCCTTGGAGCAGATGAGGAGGAATGAGAAAGCCAACGTGGCAGAATGTGAGGATGAGGTAACAGTGAATGAAGGCTGTATGGGGGCGCTTCCTGCTATTCTTACAGCTTGCTAGGTTTTTTTTTTTGGAGACACAGTCTCACTATGTCGCCCTCGGTAGGGTACCACGGCATCTCAGCTCACAGCAACCTCAAACTATTGGGCTTAAGTGATTCTCTTGCCTCAGCCTCCCGAAAAGCTGGGATTACAGGTGCCCGCCACAACACCCAGCTATTTTTTGATTGCAGTTGTCATTGTTGTTTAGCAGGCCTGGGGTGGGCTTGAACCCTCCACTTTCGGTGTATGTGGCCGGCACCCTACTCACTGAGCTACGGGCATCAAGCCAACTTGCTAGGTTTTTGAGGCCGTTAATAAACTTGGCACACATTTCATTTACCTTTTGTAGGTATGTTCAGTGGGAGGTGGGGTGTGGGGGGAGGAGGGCTGGTCTGACTTACTTGGCCCACGGTACCTGGCATGGTACCTAACACACACACATCACGTCTGTCCCTCTGGTTATGTAGCACTGTAAACCACCCACTGTTCTGCACAGCATGTCTCATCTAAAATGACATCTTGGTGCTCCCAGTGCACCATCACCAAGGGCTTTCTCATTCTTTTTTGCAGCTGTGAGGTATTTCATCATTCAGGTACACTATATATACAGCCAGTCCTCTATCAGTGTGCATGTAGGTTGTTCTACAAAAAATGCTACTGTAGTAAATTATACTGTACATAAGTTGTTTAATGTATGTATGGATTTATTCTGTAGAGGTGTTTCTAGAAATAGAATCACTCAATTCCAAACAGAATTACTGAAAGGGAATATTTGAATTTTGAAAGGTACCCAGGTAAAGTATGTAAACTTACCAAAAATAACAATCATCAGAGCATGTGGATAAGCTGGCTGGGCTACTGATGTAAATACACGAAACCTTATGTACTGAGCTTGCTGAACTGGGGTGATGGGTGCGTGGGGCTTCATTTATTCTGTGTTTAAAACTTCTCATAGCAAAGTCTCACAAGAATGGAAGAAAAAGTATCCAATGTACACACCCCTATTATGAAATTAATTTATACCTTTTATATGAAAGCTATAACCTAATAACAGCCTAAGAATATGGGGCGGGGAGGGAGGGGGGAAGAGGGAGGGAGAGGGGAGTGGGGAATGGGTGGAGGGAGGAAGATTGGAGGGATCACTCTATGGTTTATCTTACAAGGGTACAAGTGAATCTTTGTAGAATGTGAATGTTTTAAAATAATAACTAAGAAAATGACATGAAGGCTATGTTAACCAGTTTGATGGAAGTGTTTCGGATTGTGTGTGAAAACCCCACACTGTAACCCAGAAGTGCATTAATGTACATAGTTACCATTCAATAAAAAAAAAAAAAAAACCTTCTCATAAAAAGTGCCTCCCCAATTAGGCATTTCTGATAAAGCAGTATTTAGATGGAAACCTAGGTCCTTAAATGTATATTAAAAAGGAAGAAAAATTGAAAATGAGCTAAGAACTCATTTCTGGAAGTTGGAAAACAATAGCAAAATTATCTCAAAGAGAGCTAGAGAATATAATAAAGAACATACCAGAATCAGAATCATCATGAAATGGGGTCAGTGCCATTGCTGCTGGTGCTCTGAGACGTCCCGATGTCCCGGCCCCACACCAGACCAATTTCAGGATCCTCTCTCACTGTGGCTTTGGTATTTTTTTAAAATTCCCCAGATCAATGTTTGAGCTTGGCTGAGAATCAATGAGCTAGGGAATTGGGAGAGTTCCAAAGCCCCAAACTGGGTACACAGAGATAACCAGAATCCTGCCATCTTTGAAGAGTGTGCTGTGTTGTCAGCACATCATATGAACTATGCTGGCACATGCTGGTCTGGCCCCGGCATGTCCACTCAGCCAAACCACCACCATCACCTTCTTACTCACTGCCCTCCAGCCACCTGGACACAGTTTAGTCCCTTGATGTGCCCAGCTGGTGCCTGTCCAGCTTGTGCAATCACTACCCTCTGCCCACAGAACACTCCTGCATTTTACCCAAGCATGGCTACCTTGCTACTGCTTCAGGAAATCATCCCTAACCACCCTCTCTGACTGCCTCCAGCCCTCAGTCTCTTCCACCCTATTTTTATGATTATTATATATATTTTTTTAGAGACAGAGTCTCAACTTTGTAGTCCTCAGTAGAGTGCCGTGGCGTCATAGCTCACAACAACCTCTAGCTTTTGGCCTTAGGCAATTCTTTTGCCTCAGCCTCCCAAGTAGCTGGACTACAGGCGCCCACAATGCCTGGCTATTTTCTGTTGTTGTTGCAGTTTGGCTGGGGTGGGGTTTGAACCTGCCACCCTTGGTATATGGGGCCAGTGCCCTACTCACTGAGCCATAGGCACCGCCCTTTATTATTATTAATTTTTTTTTTTTTTGAGACAGAGTCTCACTTTGTTGCCCTGAGGTTGAGTGCTATGACATCATACCTCAAGTGATCCTCATGCCTCAGCTTCCCAAGTAGCTGGGACAACATGTGCCCACTACAACACCTGGGTTTGAACCCACCACCTCCGGTATATGGGGCCAGTGCCCTACTCCTCTGAGCCATAGGTGCTGCCCTACTTTTTTTTTTTTTTTTCCAGTAGAGACAAAGTCTCACTATTGCTCAGGCTGGTTTTGAACTCCTAAGCTCAAGCAATATGCCCACCTTAGCTTCCCAGAGTACTAGGATTACATGAGTGTGCCACAGCAAACAGCTCTTTCTATTTTCTCTGTAGTAACTATGTTGAATGAGGTTAGTTCATTTGCTTACAGGCTTGTCCCATTATGACTTATGTGGGTTCCCAGAGTCCTTATTCACCACTCCCTTCTGTGACTGGT